AATTGCGGTGTAATGTTTGGATGCAGTAAGCTCAGATGCCTTCTAAAGTTATACATGTTCAAGTCTCAACTGTCACCTGTCTATTTTTTCTATAAAAAGAGTTCAGAGCGTCTTACAATATTTTAAGGTTAAAGACTTGTATGAGATTGGGTGACCTATGTTCTTCCTTCTTTTTGGGTTTGCAGTGGTGTGTGCTTTGCAGGAGGATCTTGACCACATTTTTGTGGTCTTGTCAGTTTGCACGGGATCTATAGGATCATTCTTTTAAGTGATTTGGGGTGTCATTGACTCATAATAGGGATTGCCGGACGATGTTGGAGGAGGTGTTGTTGTCCTCTCTTTTTAGGATAGGGGAAGATTTTTGTGGTAGACTTATTTTCTTACCACTTTGTTGTAATTTGGCAGGAGAGAAACAAGAGAATTTTTAGGGGTGGAGTGATTCAATAGAATTTTTAAGGGGTGGAGTGATCCAGGGAGTAAGATTGGGAGCTTATTAGGTTTAATACTTCCATATGGGTGACAGTTTTTAAGAGTTCTTTTTTTTTTTGGTATGCCCTTATATATTTTTTCATTTCTCTCCATGAGAGGTTGGTTTCTTATTAAAAAATGTGTTCTCCAAATATTATTGGGTTCATTTTGTCAGAACATTGTGCTGCCAATAAAGTTCTTTACTCTTCTGACATTGGCTTATAATTTTCCATAAAGTTTGTTTTATGCTGCATTCTTGAATGTTGTTTGAATGTTTCAATGAATGAAAAATGCTGCTACTCTTTTACGTTATTCAATTAATTGTTAATCACCTTTCATCTTTTGTCTCCCAATTCTGTTGTCACGGTATAATGCTGTCCGCTTATGTTTGGAATGATTTGCAGGACTTGCATTTCCATCTCTTTATTTTTACAATGGAGGAGTTCGGGAGTTCCTTGCTACTATAAAGCAACATGTTTTCCTTGTGAGGTTTGTTATTTTTATTTGTATAATCTCTTTCTTTCTTTTGTTCTGTCTTCTTCTTCTTTTCCTTCTTCATTTTATCCTCTTAAAAAGAATGCTGCAGAAACATGGCACTTATGAAGTTAAATCTAAGAGCTCATACAATAAATAACTTATGCATGTATGCAAATTTGCATGTGTTTTTAAATAATTAACATTGGATTAACAGACAAAAAGTCACAAGAAGGTTAAAGGAGAATCAGGCATCTTTCTTATTCCTAAGCCCTTGGACAATTAGAAAACTCTCTTAACTGACCCAAAAAAAAAAAAAGTTCCTTTGCTGCTCTGTGGATAGTCCAAGACTGGTCGAATATAAGTCTTTAAACTTGCTGCTGTATTGACAATAAAGAACTCATGGTCTTGTTTTTCCTTTACCTTCCTACAGAGTATGCATCACAAAGTTATAAGGAAAAGAGTCTTTTACCTCGTAAAAGAGGATTTTGGTCAAAAGCATTTCTTCTTTAGTCAGCTGTGATATTGTTATTCTTTAGGAGATTAAGCTTACTTCAACTTAGGGAACTTTCAGCATATGTATTTGACGTTTTTTCACATTTGGAGCCTTGAATTTTGTAGGTGCCTTTGGGGGTGGGGTTTCGACAAAACAAAATTACAAGTAAGATCCTTAACTTGTGGTAATAAAAAATAATGGTTAACTAATGAAAACCTTTAGAATTAGCCTAAAGGTTAATTTAAATGCGCCAATTACCACACTTCTTCAATGACCTATCTTACCCATAACATTATCACGTTTCTGTCCTACCAAACAAGCCACAAGATGGTGAATAATCTAGCTTGTCAAAGCACACGAAACAAAGGATCCAAAATAACTTCCTTCATTATCTGTCAAATGCTCGACCTCTATACAAGAGAGATTCCAAAACTCTTCCAAGAGACAACCCCGTGCTTTGGTAGTAAAAGGACCCCAAAAGATAATTGTATCCTTTGTTCCTCACTTGCACAAGACACACCAGTTTGGCCCAACGACAAAAGTGGATGGGTGCTCTCTAGTCTCTGCTTAAAGTCTATAATGTTAATTCTCCTTGGGGCTTTGAGCCAAGAAAATGTGTAACGCCCCAGGCCCAGGATTCGGATCAGATCCTGGTCCTGGGGCGTTACAAAATGACTCAATCTTCTTCTAGATTTCAATCTTCCACAATGAAGAGAAAAAGGAACCATCGGGAGGAAGAGAAAAAGGAACCAAATGAAAGTAAAAATATTCACAAGAAAACACTTGTGCTTAGAAGTGTCTAACATGTGTCCGGCAAGTATCAGAGTGTATGAGTGTTTGATACACTTCAAAAAATGAACACATTACCCGAGCTGAAGTGTCCGTACCTCATAGGGTGAAGCTATCTCGAAAGAAAAGTTGGATTGCATCTTTAGAAGAATTATTTATACAGGTGGTGGCATTCAGAGAAAATCCCACTTATATTTCTTAAGGATTTTTTTTTGCCTTAAGATATGTGGTCTGCAATTGAAGAGTTCAAACTTTGAATTGGGGTGGTCTGGATCTTTGCGCTCAACAAAATCTTTCATGTTACTATTGCTGTGCTTTGCTTTTTATTTTTTGCTGGTTGGAGTTGTAAATTTTACTTTAAAATGTAATTTAGTTATATCCTTATCCAGTTTTTATTTTCATTTTAAGCTTCTTTATGATTAAATTATATCTGTATTCTTTGTCCATCTCTATTTTTCCAAGTGATCTAATTTTCAGCACGTATGCAGGTCTGAAGAAGATGCAAATACATTCCTTGTTAATGATTTTCAGAATCCCCTTCAGGTATCCGTTGCCTGGCTCACTTTTGACAATTTCCATGGATTGTTTCTTTGTTTCCTTTTTATTTAACAGTATATTTCGGTCTTATCACTTGGATTTCTTCAGATTTTCAACCTTTTTGTGGCATTGCCTTTCTTTGTATTATATCTTTACTACAGCCCTGCCATGCAAGGATACTAATTCACTTTGCTCTCATCTGTAGAGAACTC